TTAAGTGGGAGAACTTGCACAATTGGTGGCTGACTAAATACCTTTTTGCCCCACTGTACATACATAGCTGATGGAAAAAAATTTTTTTTTTGAATAGTCACTAAGGCCGTTACCACTTTCTGAAGTTGTTGCATTTCATTTCACTTTAACTATTTTCATTCCCTACAACTATATCTGTATGTATACATGAACATACACAGAGTTGTAACTCAGGATAACACTTCATGTTTTTAATGAAAAAGGCTGTAGTTTACAAAAAAAATTTGTCTCACAATAAATACATTAATCTTTAAGGTATCCCCAAATCCTTGTTTGTGTTACAGCTAATGAAGCGATCTTTCAGGTAATAAATTTTATTTTCCAGTGTTAAGAACAGTAGCTTGTAGAAAATCTTTCATTTCAAAAATTGCCAGCGCTAAGGAAAACATAACCAAAAGGTATGATGCAGCGAGAGAAGTGATTTGAATACAGTTAGCCCCCGGGTTAAGAACGCCCAGCTTAAGGACGACCCATAGTTAAGAATGGAGCCTACTGTAGCAAAATTCAAGTTAAATACACAATGGTTCAAGTTCATTACAGAATATTACTTACCCCATATTATACGATACTGTTCTGGCTTATATACAAATTCAACTTAAGGACAGACCTTGGGAACAGAACTTGTTCTTAAATTTGGGATTATCTGTATTGCCCACGTGGTATTACAATACCACTGGTGTCATTCATTTCCTTTAACTGAGGGAAGGCCTTGCTAGAATTAAGTGATGTATTCAAGTCCAGGTGTCCTAGCCAGCTAAGAACACTAGTTAAAATATTTATGTTGAATAATGCAACATATGAAACCATGTCAAAATGAGGTATTTGGGCTTTTTCTCTGGACTTCCAAACCTAAAAGATGCATAACTGGATTTCAGTATTAACAAACTCTTACTTTGTCACACAGATCAGAGCCTTCCATCTTCAACTTGGATTGCAATGAGGATATTTCATTGGTTAAAGCTTTATGTTCAACTTCCAGAGATTTTTTGCCGCTATTCAGAGTAGAAATATCACGTGACTGCTTGTACTTATTCACAGCTTCATCAAAAAGGCGGTACAGACATAATCTTTTATTCACTCCAGTTAGAACTTGCTCTGTAATGCAGGCAACTTTCATCCTAGCTTCTGCTGCTGGATCCTGCAAGACAACAATGCTTTGCATGGAACAAAACCTTAATGTGAAGCATTCATATATTGCATTTCATATCTTATTTATTTAAAACATTTGTATAACCATATATCTTAAAATCAAACTCTGACCCAACAATAAAACAATATATAGAGCTAAAACAAACACAATAAAACCAAAAAAGGGAAAACAGACAAACTTGGTGCCACACCTCTACATCACTGATGCAACCCATCACACCCACTATGACCTCACTCTATTCCGGCACTTGGGGTAAAAGTCAGGTCCTGAGTGCTCTCCAGAAGGTTAGAAGGTTGGGATCCTGTTGATCTCCAAGGGGAGGGTGTCCAATAGGGCAGGAGCTACAACAGAAAAGGCACACTTCCCACAAAGTGGCAAAGTTTAAGGGAAGTGACCTGGAGCATGTCTACCCTACCCACTCTGGTTGGACAAGCAGATACCCTCAGGGAGAGGCAGTCCCTCAGATAACCTGTCCCATGCCATGTGCAGCTTTAAGGTGACAACCAGCACCTTGAACTTCACCTTGAGCCGCATATAACCTCTCATAAGCCTTCACATCAATCCAGTGAAATAGCTTAGCACCCTGCAAACCTAATATCGCTATCTATTGAGTTAAAAGGAAAGGCAAGCTCTGAATCAAGAAAAACCTAGTTCACTGCTCAGTTCTTTACATACTAAGCAGTCTAGGTGAAACAACAAATGAAGTATTTAATACTTTTATGAAGCAGGGAGCTAAGTAATAAAAACAGGAACCAATAAGGATCCTGTGATTCTATCACAGACTCACATTGAGTCAAAGTTAACAAAACTAGAGTTGAAAACATTTTTAATCACCACAGACTGAAGATAAAGAGCTTATGGCGTTTTGTACCTGAGCAGACTTTTGAAAAATGAAAGATCAACCTTTACATTAGTATAAATGCTTGCTGATTAATTTGGTTTGTTTAGATAAATAATTGCCCATCTTAAGAAGCAATTAAATATTAGCTTTACATGTAACAGCCTGTGTGCTAAATTCTACTTTGCATATAAAAAAACAGGAGGTCCAGTACAACATAATTAATGCAAAAAATCTAATACCCAGATAAAAGGTTATCCTATGAAACAGTGACCTCCATCTTCTCTCAAAACTATATTGTGATACCTTAGTGATGGAGAAGTCCAATCTCACATACAGAATCACCGTAAAGAATAAGATGTAGAATGCTCCTACTACCAGCAGAGGTTCTTGCAACATCAGGACTTTATTAAAGGTATAGTGCACCTGGAAAACGACAAGTAGTAAGGGAAAATTTATTACACATTTCCTTACCTGGTTTACATTCATACTAGCTCAGTATTTTTTAATTAATCTATCCACTAAAGTTTTTCTACTATTGCCATGATACAGGGAATTTAATACTAAATTCAGAGCAATGTGGGCTGCAAGGATGAAAAATTATTTTAAAGTTTTATGTGAACCAAGCAATAAAACCAAGCAATTTGTTTTTACCACAATATCTTGGATGTGTTGTTCAACTAGGTTACTCTTATGTGCCACAATGACCGGGCGGCCAAATGTATCCAGATAGGTATAGTGAAGTTCATCAGGAGCCCGGCTGATTTCATATGGACTGTCCACATGAATATTTCTGCAGACAATAGGATGCAAAAATGTCACAGATGCTCCAGAAAAAAATTCTAAAGATATATGACAGTTAGGGCTAAATGGTTAACATATACCATAGCTTGCATGTAGGTGCTGAGATTAGAATGACGATTCATAAAAAATGTTGCATATTCATACCATAGGAATTATATTTTATGACTAACAAACCAAGAGCACAAAGGTTCAATGGATCAACAGATCATCAACCATGTTGCTACTTACTTGGCACCCTCTGGAAGGATAATCTTTACAGTTAACGAATCTGTAACTTGCTCATCAAAGACATGGTCAATAAATCTCATCTTCAAAGCATACTGATCACCTTGAAAACAGTAACATGCACTGTAAACTTTTCTTTTTCTTATAATGGTAGCAGAAAAGATCCAGTTGTATAAAACATCAACATAACGTTTTTACACATTCACCCAGAGAAGACATTAAGCTCCGCTAGAAACAATATGTGTAGACAGATTCAATGACAAATTATAAGATATCCACACAATAATAAAATATGCCAATTCTGCACTCAACAGAAGCCATGGAATACACACAAGCCCTTCCCTTTCCTAAAACATAATTATGCTGGGTACACTGTGTAAGAGGAAAAGAAGAGAAATTGGAGAAATGAAAACTTGAGTAGATGGAGCACATAACTTTGAATGGAATGTAAACAATGTTTTCAGTCAGTTTTCAAATATTGCTTGCATGATTAAATAAAGTTGAGATAAACCTTTTAAATATATATGCAGAAGAACAAAAAAAAAACAACCAAAATTCTTGAAAATCTCAAATGTGCCATTCTGATTATAAATACAGAAATAGAATAGTTTTATACTTGTGCTGTTTCATTTAGATATACACAATTTTCCCATGACCAATAATCTGATATTGTTGCCTACCAAGATTAAAGAGATATTCATAGCTGGGCAAGTTATAGCCAATTATATAGTGAGTCTCCCACCCCCCAAACAAGGGGAAACGAGGGCGAATCTCCATTTCCACTGAGTCATCCAGTACAAGAAGATGGCTGGTAGATATGTTGCCAATTTCATCTCTGTAATATACATCTTGAGCAGCAGCAGGAAGGATAGTCTGCAAAAGATAGTTTTATTAAGAATTTATCTCTTCCCCCATAAAGAGAGACCATAAAACAAGTCAATTTAATCAAATTTACTATATTTATACAGTTGCCCATCAAATATTCATTAGTAACTTGCAGATTAAACTCAGTATAAACTACCAGTAGCATAATAAGAAACAACTAACATGCAGCATTTTTTTT